GTTGTGAATCAAATAACTCGAAAACAAGGTCGAATATGTACGTTTCTATGAACTCTTTTTTTAATGAAATTTCTAAAATTGCACCTTTGGAGTAGCTCTCGAACATTTTTAAATTCGACGTCTGAGTTAGGTCTGGACGGACGTCGAGCGAATTAATACGCAGTCACGAACGGGACGCGTCAGCGATTCGAAGGAGGGCGTAACGGGAGAAGGGGGAGGCTGGTTTAATTGAAATTTAAAAAAAGACGCCCGAAGCGCAACATCCTGTTCCGATTCAGCGAAGGAGCCAGGAGAAAGAGGAGACTGCACGGGTCCGGCAGTCGATCCCTGGTCCCCGTCCCTTAGCCTTCACCCCTTTTCTTGCGCCGGTTCCCGGGTCCGCCATTGTAAGTTCCTCGGCGTATCTCTGTTATCGAAGTAAATCCACGTAGTCCCTTTCCTCCCCCGAGCTCGAACGGGCGACGCTGCTCCTCGAAATAAGGAAGAACGAAAGGAAGCGCTTATACCTCGAGAGATATTCTCTTCGAGGGCTCTTCGAGAGCCAAGCAATATATATATATATATATACACACAGAGAAAGAGAGAGAAAGAGGTGTAGGAGGATGGAGGGTGGTCGCCGTCTCTTGGTCCAAAAGGGATTTGCGACAACTTCGGGACAGGGGCGGAGGGGGGAGCAGGGGGGAGCAGGATTCAGAAAGAGTCGTTGGCGATGCAGCCAGCGGGGGAGCTTCGTCGTTTCTTCGGTCTTCCGCTTGTAAAGAGGGCTTGCTTTCCCACCTCGATATCGTCGATACCCTCTTTGTTCCTGGGCTTTCTTCTCGTCCGCCTCGCATTAAGGATGCTCTGACCCCGTGAAATGAAAGAAAATAGAGCGGAGCGAACGGGCCTCCCTGCCCGGAGACTCTCCTTTCGCAACGACCGACTGCGACCGGGGAAATTAATGGAGAGTTGATAATTGGTGAGAATTTAATCTTGGACTTTGAAGGCTACGAGTAGAGACCGGGCGGAGACGCTCAGCGCGGAAAAGTTTCTAGTACCCAGGGTGCATCTGCGAAATTCTCTCTTTCACTGTTCAATCGTTTCTCGAAATTCCGAAAACCGAAATTATGAGAGGTTTTTAATTCCCGAAAAACTATGGAATGCACTTGATATATTTGGGGGTGGAAATAACCCTGTACGAAACTCTCGTTTCATTAATTCTATTATCCCACTCTCCTGTTCCTTTTGAAGGGACATCCAGCATTTGAATGTACTCTCTAATGAAATACAACGATATCAGTGTTTTAAAGTGATTGTATAGGACAAAATAGATAAGCAAAGAGTGTAAAAGAAGATATATGTTTACTTGAGTTAGTAGTAGCTGATCGAGGAAAAGTCTCCGAGTGCAAAGAATTAATAAAAATATGAATTAGCACAAAGATCCAGAATCGAATTATTATTAACACGTTTAAAAGTATAAGAATGTTGGATCGAAAATTTTAAGGAAAATTCTAAATTCCTCCCCGGGTCTTCTCTTCTCGTTTCGCATGCAAAATGCATCTTGGAACCTTCAAACTCCTGACGCGATTTTCTATCCATCGATCGAAATCTTCGTATTAAAAGAGATCTTTCTCCGAAGCTGGCGTTCGTTTAAAACCGTTATCAGACCCGTGGATCGATTCCATTTCAGAAACGTATATTTAGAGCAGTTCTTTAAAGGATGCATCGCCATTAAAAGAAAAAAGGAACCGAGATATCCTCGTTCCTTTGTTTCTCTTTCAACAACGAAGCTTTCTTTTCTCGCTTCGACGTCTTCAATACGGTCTTTGTGCCATTTTCCTACTAGCCCCTCGCTGCGTTAAAAACGCTTTGTTGCGGATTCAAAGAGAAAGAGCGAGCGAAACGGAAGACATTATCGAAGTATGCTTTCCGTCCTTGGCGTTCTTTATCATAACACTCGAAGATCGCACAAAGTTAATCGATGGAAAATCTTGGACGGAAACACGTCGTTCGATGACAGACTCTAAATCGCGGATGCATTCTTCATATTGCATTGAAACGTTCCTGGTAAAAATTCTGTAGAAAAAATTTTTCTTTAATAGAAATTATATTTGGTAGAATTTCTTTCAAATGAAATAAAATAAATTAAGAGTATCTAAGACGCCATTACGAAGCCTAGTAAGCCATCGTTCGCAAAAATCAGCGAATTCTAACCGCCCCCCCTGTAAATCGCGGCAGTTACTTATTCAAATTACCCATCGACTGTTATTACTCGAAGGCAAATTACGAAATAAATCAGACGCTTTATCCCAGACTCCCTTGAAAGCACCCGGTTTCTTTTTTTCCGCCTTTTAACGTCGGAAGTGCGACTCGCGGGCGGTTCGATCGATCCTCGGAACGATCTCCCGCAAGGACGGCAGATCAGAAAGGATATACGTTAAAAGTTGAACGAATTAGCTTTTACAAATTAAACCCTGTTCCCTCCCCTCCCTTCCTTCTCTCCGCTCGAGTCGAACTTCGCCTCGGGATAGAATTTAAGGGAATTCGTTCGTATATCGATAGACTATAAAACTTGGTCCGATAGAGGAACTCTCCCCTCTCCCTCCCACGACTGCTGGAAAATTTACTGGATACGATGTCCTCCGCGCTGCACTCCCGGCTACTTCTTAGTGCGATTCACAGGAGAATCCCTTCCTTCCAGGAAGATACGGACGTGGACAATGTTCGAGACCTCGTTAAAGTTTCAGAATACGAGAGAAAGGGTAGACGTCGGTTGCACGAGCGGAGGAAGTTTCACGGAGGGAAACCGGAATACGTTAATGCGATGGTTTTCATCGACGGACGCGAGTGTATTTTTTAATATGCTCCTCTGTTGGAACCGTGAAAATTACTTTAGTGACTCGGTGAATCGTGAGGAATGTTGGTTCTTACGGTACTGGAATACCATATTTGATACTCGACCTCTTCTGATCTCTACTGTATTTATTTCTTCTAATATCTCATGAAATGTAAATGTAATTAGACTGGTACCAAACTCGATGCAATTGGATAACAATTTCTAAATTTTTTCTGGTCAGAAACTTCAACTGTAAACGTCTGTAAATTCTGTTTTATTTTTCGATTAGCTTCATTTTCCCGTATCTTAGTTTATTTGTTTAAATGCTGATTTCCTCGTACAAACACGATTCTGACGCAATCGAAAGCAGAAATAGTTATAGGTACGATTCAACGATCTACGAATAATGTTTCCTGTTTGTCTTACGGACCAACAATTTACAGAGTCGCTTACGGCCCGTTTTATCCGCGTTGAATCTCGTATCTCGATTATAGTTACGACTATAGACCGCGGCATTTCGCGGTTAACGATGTCGTTTCCACCGTGTAACTCATTGCCGGATTAATGCAATTACGGTGTGGGCCACGGGAAGATCGACGTATCAGACACTTCTTAAGGGCAATAAAGCTACCCTTCTTATTCGTCGGTTAGACCGCATCGCCAACTTGTTGCACTTTCCGCTCTCCGTTACGTGGTCTCTTTCCTCTTCTTTTTCCCGTCTCGATGGGCGTTTCGTGAGAATGTCGTGAAAATGGCACACGCAGCGTGCGATAATAGTTAACTCGGCCACGCTTGACGAACGTTTACGACCGTCCTCGCACTTTTATTCCAGCCTGTTCCGAAGACCGTGCCGCGAACGCATTCAAATGCCTTCTCTGGAATCGATGACTCGAAAAATACTGCGTCTCGAATCTCGGGCTCGATATCTCCACGCTTCCTTTCTCTGGAGATTTATTTACCGGTCGTTGACTTTTATGTTTCGACAATACGGAAGTTTTCATTTTATCGAATTTAATTTTCATTCTTGTGTGATCAGCGAAGTGCAGCATCCTCTGCAAAACCCGTATTTATTGAATTTCTTCACTGTTTATATTACTATAACCTCTCAAAATATCAATATCAATATCAAAAAAAGAAAAAAAAACTACTTCGTAAATAGAACTAGCAGTGTGTAATGAAAACAACATTTGGTAAAAATAAATAATATTTTTTCCATTTATAGTGTATCACCATTATAGTATTAGTGTACCAATACGAGAATAACTATAAATTGCTTGAAAAATAGGAAGAAGTTTCTTGTTACAGCACGCGTGGAGCTTTCAAAAGTATTTCATAAAATTACTAATCGCTAGAAAAAAGAAATCGCGACAGTTTTGTACCCAAAAGTCCACGAGAGACGGAATTTCGTGGGCCAACTTGTTGCTCCAGCGTATTCTTTCGTCCTCGACATTAAGCTCGCCTTCTTTCGACGCCATCGCGCTGTGCACTTGTTCCGAGGATGCTCGGAATAGGTCCACGGGTCGCGTTAAACGTACGTATCGTCCCCGTCGATGGCATTACACCCGGATATCGAGCAAATGGGGCGAAGAGAGGAGTCTTTAGCCGTGGAAACGGCCGTGAGGTTGTCGCGCGAGGGACGAGCTTAGATGTAAGATAGGACGACGAAACGTGTTTGTCGTTGTTCGGGATTTCCGGGATTCAGGGTGTAGGCGAAAGATACGGCCAAACATTGGGGAAACGTTCCTGGAGGACGAAAACATAGGATAAATTCGAAAACGCTGCAGTATCCTTGTTGAACCTTCACTGTTTAGAGCTTCTCCTGACGTTGAACATTTTGTGGGTCTGCTTGCTAGTGATTTTTCCATAATTGGCTTCTCAGACAAAGTCGATACTATCTCAAATACTATAGCGGTCTCTGTTCAATTTTCTAACCGTCTAATGTTGTTACAAAAATCTAAGATATATCTTCGCATTACGAATGAAGATTGAATATTCTACAGTTAAATATTGTTGTTTAATTCAATCATACAACCCATAGCCCTACAATTTCAATAGTCTCAAATTAATTGGAAAGATTTAAACCCAATATTTTACCTAATTTCGACGGCTAGATTGGTATTTATTAAACCAATGTTTCGAGATGCAAATGGTCCCTCGTTCTTATTAGACGGCTTCTGTGTTGCAGGAACGGACACATGCTGACGCATCGAAACAAGAAGCCGTACGAATGCAAAGCGGAAGGATGCGGCAAGTCGTATTGCGACGCGAGGAGTCTCAGAAGGCACACGGAAAACCATCATGCCGGCAGCAAGGTGAACGAAAGCGTTAGTCCTAGCAGTCCCACGACCGGTCCTCATACTCCGAACACGCCAGGAAGCAATCCCAGCACTCCCAGCACGCCTGGCGCAACATCGACGCCGAATGGCCACGGACATCCGGCCCTGAAGCAACTGCTCGCCACGGAACCCACGCAGACGCAGCAGCAAAAGGTAAACCACGTCGTTTTTCTTACCTATTGTCAGTTTCCTTCTTCGTGACCGTCCAAGGACACGCGAACGGGCCTCCAACTCATCCTGAAAGGATTTTATCGAGTCTGGGTCGTTTGTGACCTAGACTCCTCACTTTGGTCTAGAGGAAGGTGGAATAAAATTGTTGATGATAATTTTGCAGGGTTCAGTGACCTTTTAGCTTGGCAATTTTCATTAAAAAATAGCAGTTTCATGGCAAAAGAGCTCGTCCCCTTTGAATTTTTCTTCTTTTTCACAGTGAATATTAATTAAATATATGTAACACAAAAGAGATATATTTCACGATGGCAATGCAACGATTTTGATGATCAGATGATATCTGAAGATATCAAGAGCAATAAGTAAGGAGGAACGTACTCTCATGACAATAAAACAATAAAATACGATGATTACTCGAATGACGCAATTTATCAATAATTCATGTTGCGATAATAAAATAAATGTATCTTAAACGAAGGCTGCTATATTTATTTAATTACCGTAACATGAATTGTTGATCAATTGCATCATACGAATAATTATTACATTCTAATTTACAAAGCGTAACATTTAATTATTCACGAATAATTTTTTCAACTTACGTCTTACCTATACGTGAATTATCTATGTCTCTAAATCATAGCTCTATTATGTTACATACGTTTAATTAAGTATTTTTTCCCCCCTTATCGCCTTTGATAATATTTAGTATTTGAAGGAAACGGATCGTTGCATTTTTCTAATTGTCGGGTATTAGGAACCGAACGAAGGAGATTTTCTCGTTCGCAAAACACCAAGCCGCTGCCAGCAGATCCGCCAGGAGTAATTTGATCCAAAAGCTTGCCACGGTTCAGTCGATATGTCGTGACACCGTTTTCTCGAAATTGCCCTGATATTGGTTCGTCTGAGATAGGTTTAAAGGCTTACAGCACAACCTGCCGGATGAGTCAACGCGGATCTGAAGATCCAACGACGTAAGAGGATTACGTGAATCTTTGAGGATCGCCCGAGTATGTTACGCGACCTCTAACTGCGCCCTCATTAATTTTTATACGTCATTCGCAGTTTTCAATTTGTCGTGTTCTGGATCGAACCGGCTCGGCAGCAGGATTCTGGGAATTATACTTGGTCCCGCGGTCCGGTACTTTCAGGACTACGGTTATTACTAATAATTCTTAAATAACGTCGTTTCGAACGCGATTGATCCGCTTGCAGTGGTTAATCATCGAGAAATTGGGGCTAACGTAAGATTATGTTTCTGTTGATCCAACTTCATTTCCTTCTGGGACTCTTTTCTTTTTAGGGGGTGGTTTTCGAGCATTCTGAATTTATACGCTTCTGGAAATATTAAATGTTAAATTTCTGGGTTCGCGAGCAATTATTTCTCATTCTGAAAAATCTGACGATTCCAACGTTTCCTCGTTTTGTTATTAATACGAATGAAGCGACAATTTTTCTTCGTATTAGGACTGATTAGACATCCTTACTCATGATTATTCGCGTTTCATTGTTGTCCATCGGTATAATACGTGCAACGTGACACCTTCGTTCTCCACTCTCTACTTACGCTTAGTGTTGTAGCTACACAGCTATCGTATAATACGTGATATTTAATACTGTCGATGACGTATGATCTGTAGCTACTGCTGACTGGTTTCAACAAACTCTTACTAATGCCACGGCCGGCTGATTATTTGCTAACACGGTCTACTGTTGGTAGACCTCGCTAGTGTGCACTACTGGAAACGATGGCTGACTAATACGGTCTGTTTCTACTGTGTTAATAATGGTCCGTAATATCAACACTGTTCGTCGGGGCTGCTGCATTACCGCATTCTTGACAATTGCACGCCCTAATTTGTTTGCATTGCATCGCGAACGTGTTCTGCGAAACAACACCGTTACATAACAATGTCGTAATTAAATTCTCTTATCGATATCGTCGATCCTCTTCGCCGTTTAAACGTTTGCGAAAATCGTGTTCACGAATAAAATAGTTCGAAACTTCCCAGGGTCTTTACGATCGCTTTTAGACATTGTTCTTGTGGGATATATTCTTGCACAACATCCTCCTGTGGTTGTATTCCGTTCTATAGATTCTTCTTTCGATAATTATTATTCTTTCAGACCGTACGAAGTGTAATAAATCGAAATGGATATATTTCATTAGATTCGAAATTTTTGTTCTTTCCTCGATGTACGAGATTAAAATTAATCAACGTTTTAAAACGGAAATTTTCGATACTATCAGATTTTGAACGTGATTCCGAAAGATTCACCAAAACCATGCAATTTCTTACGAAAATTAATTATTTTAGTTTCATAGAGAGGTCCTGTCATATATGGCTGGCAATCAAAGTGTCGATCTGAGAAACGTTAATCTAAATTAAACAAATAATATTCTAAGCCACTAAAATTTCTACTCGATGTAATAAAACTCCCCCCGAAAGATTCTGCATCTCGCGTGTCCGCATCCAGCACGTGGTTCATCGACAACTAGCAATTATCGGATCGAAATTGACATCACCAGTATCTCCGTGGCGTGGAAACGAAGCGGTAAACCGACCGTGAACCGCAATATTCGTCATCGAGTCGGCGGTTGCTCCCAGAAATACCGCGACTTTGTCGTAACGGGGGCTCCTCCGCCCCCATCTTTACGCGGAATCGACCAGCCGGATCCGCCAAGGATCGATCTTCATTGGCTGCGACCATCGACGACGGTACAGCGTGTCTGGCTATTGTCGGACGACGAAACGGCGCGAGCGGAAGACGAACGCAAGGAATCGCGGGGGCGGAGAAGGTCGGATCAACCACCCCCCTACCGTTGATCGTCGGGACTGGTTTCCCAGGCCTGGTGGAAATTAGTTCTCGGCTGTGGAGCACGGAATTATTGCTGCTTTCAAAGTCTCTCGAGCTCCGGGGTGCTCGCCGCGCTTGCATCTGGGGTTCGAGAGGAGAAAACACAAAGAAAAGAAAAGGAAGGCGAGGGACAGACAGCGGGGGCGGGAAGGCGAACGCGTACGAACGCGTGTGAGGGTGGAAGGGAGACGGAGATCGGGAAAACGGAGAGAACCGGGACGAGGATGAAGCGAGGGTAGTTAAACCGAGACTACAAATCTACGATATTGAGTTAGAAGTAAGGCGAACCCTTGAAGCGGGGGCTAATAAAATTTGATGACCGGGAACTTCGTAATGAGAATGAGACGGGGAAAGGGGAGGTTGTGGGGGTGGGAACCGGAGGGACGATAGTTGGGCAGGGGCGACCGATCGAACCAACCGACTATGAAAACTTCTCAGACGCAACGACTTCGTGATTTATGATATTTCAGCGGACCGTCCCCCGTGCCTCTGAACCGTGAACCGATGATCGAGCTTTCCGCGATCAGCTGCGCGATCGTAATTACGTTACACCGTTTTCGGGAGTTGCTACGATTGTGACTGTTTTTAATTTATGCGAATAATGCGCTACTTTAGTTTATTTGAGGTTAACTTGTCGAATAACTCGTGTTAGGGGCGTCGTATTGAGCAAATTTTACTTTGCTTGTTATATGGGGTCGATCTTAGTTTCTGAGATATTAACGAAATAGTTTTTAAATTATTGCAATAGTTTCTATTTACACGTATGTGTGGCAATTTGTTAGGTGCGATATTTAGCTTACAGTTACTTTTATAACAAAAACATGTATAATAAAAATTATTGAAAATCGAATTTAGAAACTTTTGTGTTCGACAGAAATTTTCGATGGAATCGATAGTATCCAAGATAGAAATTTATTTACGTTTTACAAGGACGTAGACAGTGATCGTACTCTTTCTATTACACTGGATCCCCATTCTAGACGTAAGCGCTTGTCGCGATAAACGAGCACGGCTCAGAGGATGTTTTTGTCAACAGTATTCCGCGAGACCTCTAAATGTCGAGTCGTGTTCTGGGCTCTGTCCAAATCTAGATCGTCGTTATTTGAACGTGTTGCAACGTTTTGCAATTATTCCATAACATTACGGTCTCTGAGACGAAAGAACAATCGTCAGAAAATAAAGAAGTGTTCCAGTAGCTGACATACAGCGAAGGTAATAGTGACAGTGAAATTTCATTCGATGAAAAATAGTGATGTTAACCCAGAACCAGAATTATTAAATTATAATTACATATAATTTTATGTGAGCTTACGTTGTGGTTCGAGTGATAAAAGTAACGAATTTATATCACGCTCACGATTGTTTATCCCGACTCAGAAGAACACGTACAGTGAGTTTTTTTTATTTGAAACTTCCAAAAAAGTTCGTTTTTATTTGTTGAAGCATAATGGCAGGTACGAATGCTGAACGACCGACGCGCGAAGTAGAAAAATACTACCCGCAGCTGGAAAGGTTGCCCTTTAAACACAGCACTCGGGCGCCAAGAAAAAGGTCGGTTTTATGCACCGTGAATGTACCAACGTAAAAACGCTAAACTGTCCTTATTAAAAGTCTCCCGGGGGGATATTAACTGCGACTAATTTCGGGGGCGAGCGTTGTCACACGCGAAACACGTAGAATGAAAGGAATGTTTTTACGGAGGTATTTAGTGCGTCATACTTCGCGTAAAGCACAAAAATAACAGAAAATAATAGAGTATTCGTGGCTAGCGATCTCGAAAATTTCTATTCGGTACAAATTCTTTTGGGGCGCCAAACTTCCCAACGACTGGAACGCTACAGCGCTCGTACGTTTATTACTCTACCGAATTTTACCATAAAACATTAACATCGTTAAAAACATAGTCCTACGAACGCACATCAAGCTGAGTCCCCTTTCAAAGCGATTTTGTACAATTTTTGAAGTCGTCGAGTAATGATTCATAAAATGGACATCGTTCGGGTTAGCACATTCATTTTTCGTGCAGTAGAAGTGAAACTCGACACCAGTAGATGTGCACAGTGATATCGTTGAGGAGTAGAGGTGTTCATTTTAAGAATCATTGCAAGAATACTCTTTCAACG